CGCTCGCTGTTAATTTCACAGTACGCCAGCAACCCGGGCTCGATCCTCGCCCGCACCAATGAAATTGTTAATTGCAATTTTACAGCCAATATATCTAATGATTTAACTTGGGACAGCGTACTCCACACGGCTCAAAAAGGCATAGTAGTATTGAATAAATTGTTAAGTTCCAATTTACTAACTCTAAACTACAAAAAAACTAAGTTCATAGCCTTTCACAAAACTCTCGCATCAAAACCATTTTCGTTGGTAAACTTAGTAATTCACACTTGCGAATCTGAAGTATCCTCTTGCGGATGTAATATAATCAGCAACACAGATAACATCAGGTATCTAGGAGTGATCATTGATGATAAGCTATCATTTAAAAACCATCTAAGCCGCTTGTCGGGTAGTGTTAGGAAAACCATTTACATAATGAAAGCTTTACTACGCTGTGCTACTATAGAAACAATGAAAATGGTTTACAAAGCACTAACCCAATCCCTACTATACTACTGCACGCTGGCTTGGGGTGGAGCTATCAAAACAAAAATGCTTGAATTCGAGAGGGCCCAGCGAGCAGTACTAAAAGTAATGCTGTCTAAAAACTTTAGATTTCCTACTGACGAACTGTACAAGGAATGTAAGGTGCTACGGGTTCGCCAAATCTATATTTTAAAGGCAGTAATTCTAACCCACAGAAAAATAATAAATTCCCCGGATTATCTTAGCCTGTGCCAACGTCGGATATTTCGAGTACCGATTCCCAATTCACACAGTAGCTTTATCAAACGCCACTCACCATTTCTTCTGCCTAGCATTTACAACAAATTCTGCTGTCTCTTCCCAGGTTTGAGGTCTTTGTCCACAAGTAAATTCAAACACAAAATAACCTGGTTGCTACATGCTTCTTATCAGGAAACGGAAAACTTACTTTCCTTTCATAGTTGACCCTATACATGCACACGCGTAGACTTACACTCACTCACACACATGCGCAAGCACGAACCCCCCCCCCCCCCATACACATAAACACACACACACACACACACACACACACACACACACACACACAGGCATGCACACACATACGTACGCACGCACGCAAGCACTTCTAGAGTAAATTAGCTATTTTTTTCTTTCTTTCATGCATTCTTTCTTTCATTATTTTATAAAAAAAAATATTTTTTTCTTTATTTTAATTTAACCGGAGTTCTATGTATTTATCGGTGTAAACGGTGTCAGTCAATGTTCTTGGTTCCTGCGATACAAGCCTAGAGCTTAGTGCAGTAACCAGTGTATTGCTTAATTATGTAATGTTTTTTTAGTTAAATAAATACATTTTCTATTTCTATTTTCTAATTTTAAGTGCTGATTTACCACGTGCTCGGCGGTGAAGGAAAACATCGTGAGGAAATTTGCATGTCTGAGAAATAACAAAAAAATCAAAAGGAATGTGAAGTTCGCCAACACGCATTGGGGTAGCGTGGCGGACATTTCCTTGCCCTAAAACCCTCTCAAAAATGAGGGTAGGCCTGTGCCCAGCAGTGGGACGTATATAGGCTATAACTTTAACTTTAAATTAATTTAATATGATAATTTAAATCCATCTAGTCCATGCAATTGGTAAAGTCATTTTATCGAACGAAAATTGATCGACTGTCACGGTGGTACGTAAGGAAGACGCTAGATGGCATAAATACGGCAAATATAAATCACTAACGTCGTGGATTGTTTTAAATGGACTGAAATATGACAATTTTATTCAATATGGTTAATTTTATTAATTTAACAATTTTTTAATTTTTTGAACTGTATATTTCAACAGTTAAAATATATATTAACCAGCTTTACTATACAGTGTTTTATCTATGGCCACGAGTGGGGAAGACAAAGTGTATTTAGTAAAATAACACAAAAAATAACAAACTCGGCACATCTAGTTCCCCTCATCGATGAGTTCCAGTGGCAGTCTTCAAAGTACACATTCAGGTCACTCTATCAAGCCCGGAGGTTAGGTCTCATCATGTCTAACAAAAACGAGGCCAAACTTGGCACATCTAGTTTTCCTCGTCGAGGAGTACCAGTAGGAGACACGGACACAAGTTCAGGTCTATAAAGTCCAAGACGTATAAGTATATTTATTTATATATAACTCCTGCGTACTTTTAGCGAAACAAAATATTGTAATAAAAATCTGTGAATATAAAAATAATAATAATATAAACCTTGGTCAAGTATGTATCAAATTTGGTGTTTGGAATATTTTGTATTTCTACGGCGATCGATATTTTTCAGCACGAGCCGCTGTAACAAACGACCACTCACGACGGCATTTGAAGCCGGAGTAAATAAAGTATTCTGTGGCTGTGACTCGGAGTGCGGCTTCGGCCTATTTAGTAAAATATTTTTTTATATAGGATAGTGTAACAAACGAGCACACCGTCCATCTGATGGTAAGTGGTTGCTGTGCCCCATAGACATCTACATCTATCCTCGTTTGCGAATCAAAATGCAGATGCGTTATCACCCGTGAGGACTAAGATGGAATGCCTCTTTTCTATTAAAAAGGGTCTCCGAATCTCTACACTCACCATACGAAACACAGCAGTGTTAAGCTGCTATTTTACGCTGGTATTCTGTGAGAGCGTGGTCCTTCCCGGGCCGAGCCGAGCCATTCGTGCTACAACTATACTACTTATATAGCTGCAGCATGGCTCTACCACGTTTAATACAAGGCTGCTAAAGCCACTGAAAGTTTTACCATTTTAACGCCGAAAAAATTATTATAACTAAACAAAACAAAATTAAACTGCCATTTACATTTAATGGCTTCCCACATGATAGATGAAGAGATTTAAAAATAGATTGAGTTGAACAGTTGATATTTTCAAAAGTTATCGTGCTTACACCGTCATGCGTACTTTATAAATCCACACCATAAGCTACTAAAACTCCTTTTTTATTTAAAAGATTTTTTTGATTTCAAAAATTATTAATAAATTCAACATTCATTTATCTTTCTGACAATGTGCTTTTTATATCATTTATATGTATAATATGATTGCTAGATACGATTTCATGCGACAAAACGTTGGAATCTTGATTTTTAGACCCTAGCAGAATATACCTGCGCGTTTAGCGCTTAAGGTATGGAATAGAAAATTGTTTATATTTTGAAAAAAAAAAACAATATTTTATTATATACAATATTAGAAACTATAGTAAAAAATTAATGAAGAAGAAAGGTGTAAACTGGAGTACGAACTGAAAGTATTCGATTAGAGTAGAGTCGTTTTTACTATTTAGAAGACTTTAGTCTATTTAAAAATCTGCAATCGTTATCATACAGCAATGTGGATGGATTTAAGTAAGATAATCTTAACCGCGATTTACTCCACAATTATTTTAATCGCCTCAAATGCATTGTTGAAATCGTAGCAAATACAAGAATTAAATAATATTAACTGTGTTTTAAATAAAAGATTTCATCTATCAAATAGAAATAAAATGAAGTGTCTGTCTATAATATAGAAATAACTCTTTTTATAAAAAAATTTAAACCATTTTTAAAATTATTTGCCTGTCTGTACGGGGTAATCTTTGGAATGGCTGAATCGATTGGATGCGGCAATTTTTGGAGGACGCGGGTCGCAGGACGTTCAGCAGTGGCTTTTGATAGGTTGTAATAGTACGATATATCAATTATATATATATCGTACTATTATATGGCTTTAAAATACTTTATATACCTCAGTTTAAGAAATTCATCTGAAAACTTTCACTAACGCTAACAAAACTGTTCATAATGTTACTACTCTATTTTGCATGCATAAATATTTTACGATATATCCCATAACGTATAACGAGCTCCGACTATAAAACTGTTGTTGTAAGGAAATTACTGAATATGAAGTTAAACTACTGAGAGATAAAGATAACGATAACGATGATAAACTCTTTAAATAAATAAACGGGGCTTTTGTCGTGATTTATGATATATAGGTGACTTTGTTTGATGACTGAAATAAAAGAGTGTAAAAATAAAACGGTCATTGAAACGAATGACTTACAAACAAAAATACACAATCAAATATACATAAACGGACAACATAAAGTTTTACGTAATATGAAATAGCAAATAAAATATACGATAAATCTAGGATTATGTAGCTAGTAAGGTATTATAAACTAGTTACGTATGTTGTAAATTAAACTGACAAAAAAAATCCGCTGTAGCATAATGTTGAGGCAATCTATGGAGGAGATCTATGTTCAGCAGTGGACTTTTATAGGCTGGATATTGGATCGACGGATGTTACTTAAATACGGATGCAAAGAGCTTAAGGAGCACATACAGAATATGAGATTCACTTTTTTTCTTTCTTTGTCTTCTATATCAGCTTGCAAAAGTTCTTTGCTGCTGACCTATCTACCTAACTATATTATTTTTTGTAGAGAGGTTGTACAATTGAATATCCATTATAACGATGTACTTCGAGGCCATAACACTCGTATTATCACCGCCAAGACCTGATATGATACTCTTATTTGGTATCTTCCTTAAACCAAGCAATTGTACCGCCGATTCTGTCACGAAAGACGCCTGGGAGCCCTGGTCTAAGAGAGCTCTGAACAGGTGGGTATAGCCATTTCTTGCCCTTGATTCAACAAGAGCCGTTGCTAGCAGAATCTGATTAGGTGCTGTTTCCTTCGAAAAATGTGATGTAAAATTGGAAGCTGATTCGGAACTATCTAATGATGCTGTACAAGTTCCAAACCGACCTCAGTAATCACTTCACTAGGGTTGATAATTTATTGCAGAAGATTTCTTAAACTTAAAAAACCTAAATCAGATCGCAACATTGCTCCTTTTCTAGAAAGCTCTGAGTTAAACGAAGCCCTAAACGTCTGTATCAGAATGTGTCAAGTGCAGGAATTAAAGGATAGTCGACTAAAATCACTAAATCCATATCACGATGACAGAGGACTCTTAAGAGTCCTCTGTCATCGTTATAATGGATATTCAATCACGTCATGATCCAAGTTTCCAAGTAAGTGTACGTGCGCATGTTCTCGGTGCAATTACGAGTCTCCTTCCGTCAGAGAAGGTATTAAATTTTGATTGGCCAGAATTAGACAATATAACTTTGGCTGATCCACAGTTTCACATCCCTAGCAAAATTGATATTTTGCTTGGAGCTGATATTTATGGTGATTTAATAAGAGAAGGATTGATAAAAGGCCCCAGAGGTATGCCAACTGCTCAGAACACAGCTTTAGGATGGATACTATCGGGTCCGACCCATCAAGGTAAGAGCATTCAATCTCAATCAGCACATTGTCATCATAATCTTATTGTAAGTTCTCACTTTCACAATGATGACAATGAATTGCTCAAAAAATTTTGGGAAATTGAAAATTATTTTTTTGATACAAAAATCCTCACTAAAGAAGAACAACTATGTGAGGATTTATATGAACAGACGACCAGACGAGATGCATCCGGTCGGTATATTGTTCGCTTGCCGTTTCGTGAGGACGATCCAAAGTGTAAGTATGGCAATTCAAGAGAAATTGCCATAAAGAGATTTCAACTTCTAGAAAAGCGCTTGAAGAAAGATGCCGAACTCAAGAACAAGTACTCAGAGGTAATTCATGAATACTTGGACCTGGGTCATATGGTGCGTATATCGGACGATGACAAAAGGAAACACCTTTCTGCGAGCCGGATTCAGATGCCAGATTCCGGACTGTATCTTCCACATCATGCCGTTATACGTGAAGACAAAAGCACAACTAAGGTCAGAGTTGTGTTTGACGCTTCATGCAAGGGTAACAACGGCATTTCCCTCAATGACACTTTGATGGTTGGTCCTAAGCTTCAACAAGATTTACGGCACATTATACTGAAGTGGCGTATGCATCCTATATGCTTGAGTGCGGATATAGTTAAAATGTATCGCCAGATAATAGTCGCAGAAGAAGACGTAGACTTTCAGAGGCTTGTGTGGAGAGACAGTCCGGAATCTGAAATGGAAGAATATCGCTTGGAAAAAGTTACTTTCGGCACAGCATCGGCGCCATACCTGGCTGTGAAGACGTTACAGCGCCTTGCGATCGATGAAGGCAGCGCATATCCTCTTGTGGCTGAAAAGGTTAAAAAGGATTATTATGTAGATGATCTCTTGACAGGATGTCAAACTGTTGAAGAAGGAAAGCAAATCTACAAGGAAATGAAAGAACTATTAAGCAAAGGTGGGTTTCAGCTACAGAAATGGATCACGAATAATACGGAATTAGCAAAAATAGTTATGGAAGAACGTGGAAATGAAGAAGGAAAGATTAATATAAAGATAGATGAGATAGTGAAAGTGCTAGGACTTACCTGGGATAAACAAACCGATTCGTTTCATTACTCGGTGCAACTTACCATGCAAGAAAATCCCATCACAAAGAGAAAAGTCATATCAGACATTTCACGTCTTTTCGACCCTTTAGGATGGGTGGCTCCTTGTGTCATTACAGCCAAGGTGATGATACAGAAGTTGTGGTTGTCTGGGGTTGATTGGGATGAAGAGTTGCCAGATGATCTTCTTGAAGAGTGGCTTACTTATCGGTCAGAATTAGCTAACATCCGAAAGGTATACATTCCTCGATGGGTCGAAACAAAAGTTGATGATACTTGCACAGAATTACATGGTTTTAGCGATGCGTCCAATGTTGCATACGCTGCAGTGATTTACGTACGGACTATTGACACAGCTGGTAACATTCATGTGTATCTAGTTGCTGCTAAAACCAAGGTAGCTCCAACTATGCAGGTGTCTATTCCTCGCCTCGAGCTAATGGGAGCCGTTTTATTGGCCAGGTTAGTTACTGACGTGGCAAACATGTTGCATATTAGTCGGGATAAAATTCACGGTTGGACTGATTCCACGGTGGTGTTAGCATGGCTTAGTAGTCACCCCAGCCGCTGGACAACTTTTATTGGCAATAGAACGTCTGACATTTTATCAAGGCTTGATAACACCCAGTGGTCTCATGTGTCATCGGGCGAAAATCCTGCAGACATTGCATCTAGAGGATGTACACCTCTAGAACTTGTACAAAATAGTATGTGGCTGCACGGTCCACCTTGGCTCAGCGAGGCAGAAATTAAATATAAACTATCCAAACGACCCTCCACTAATCTTGAACGCAAAAAACTTAAGGTTCATCTGTCTACGAAATCAACGACTGATGATTTCATCTGGAATCGATTTTCTTCACTTTCACGTCTTGTTCGCGTTGTAGCTTATTGCAGAAGATTTCTTAAACTTAAAAAACCTAAATCAGATCGCAACATTGCTCCTTTTCTAGAAAGCTCTGAGTTAAACGAAGCCCTAAACGTCTGTATCAGAATGTGTCAAGTGCAGGAATTAAAGGATAGTCGACTAAAATCACTAAATCCATATCACGATGACAGAGGACTCTTAAGAGTCGGCGGAAGAATCTCAAATGCCGACATTCCTGAATTAGCTAAACATCCTATTATTCTTCCACATAAAAGTCATTTTACAGATCTTGTCATTGACGACGCCCACAAAAAGACAATGCATGGCGGTCCATCTCTTGTCATAAATTATTTGCGCTCACGTTACTGGATTATTTCGGTTAAGAGTCGTGTAAAATTGCATGTGCGTAAATGTGTCATCTGCGCGAGACGTGCAGCAATTACAGCAACGCAACTTATGGGTCAGTTACCAGCGTGTCGAATTACTCCAGGAAGACCATTCCTCCGCAGTGGAGTAGATTTTGCTGGACCCATTAATATACGCGTATCAAAGGGACGAGGCAATAAGTCGTATAAGGGCTATATATGTGTTTTTGTGTGCATGGTCACAAAGGCTATGCACCTGGAAGCCATCAGCGACTTAACATCCGAAGGTTTCATTGCCGGTTTTAAAAGGTTTGTAGCCCGTAGAGGTCACGTGAGAGAAATATGGAGCGACAATGGGACTAATTTCGTTGGAGCATCCAAGGAGCTACAAAAATTAGTCACTATAGAACAATCAGCAGTTGCTCTCGAGATTCGAGAATGGTTAAATGATAATGGTGTCTCATGGCATTTCATTCCTCCTCACGCTCCACATTTTGGAGGACTGTGGGAAGCAGGAGTGAAATCCACAAAATATCATCTCAAACGAGTAATCGGGGATTCCACTCTAACTTTTGAGGAAATGATCACAGTGCTGGCACAGGTTGAAGCGTGTCTTAATTCTAGACCATTATCGATCTTAACAGACGATCATAATGACCCTTCACCCCTTACACCAGGTCACTTCCTCGTAGGTGAGCCGTTGATAATAATACCCGAACGTAACTATGAGCAATGCAATATGAGTACTTTAAGACGTTGGCAAATGACACAAAAGATGTTACAAGATTTCTGGCGTAGGTGGTCCAATGAATATTTAGTGCATTGTTTGCAAAGGTACAAATGGACTAAAATTACTCCGGAGCCAAACATCGGTGATATCGTTCTTGTAAAGGAAGATAATCTTCCTCCGGCTCGATGGTTATTAGGTAGGATAGTAACAAAACATCCAGGTTTGGACGGAATTACTCGAGTGGTGACATTAAAATGTAACGGTTCTGAAATTAAAAGACCCATAACAAAACTTTGTATATTACCTGTAACTGTATGATAAGATGTATTTGTTTTTACACTATTTTATGCTATTATACTATAATGACTTGCTTTTAAGGAATTTTTCACGTTTAATTTTATTTTTGTGCTCATGAATTCTTGTGTAAGGAGCCCTTGACCTCATGGTGGGCGGTGCTGTGAAGAACGATCACTATCGTTCTTGGTGGGCGGCATGTTAAATTTGTAAACTAGATGGCGCTAGTGACAACTTACGACGCGCCTACATGTTTCATACTTGATTGAATATGGTTTCTGTATTCTTTTTATTATATGCTTCTGATTACACGTACTTGTAGTTTTATTAAATTATCAACCCTAGTGAAGTGATTACTGAGGTCGGTTTGGAACTTGTACAGATGCCTTTACGTTAGATACCATTGCATTGACTTCTGACACCAATAAAGATTTCTGAGAATCCGAACTGCACGGACCTGAGGTTGGTTTGGGGTTAGGATGAAGTAATGAGTGATGCTTGTGTTTACAAATGTGACATTTTTTATGTGAGCGACAAACTTTCGAAGAATGTTTTGAACCTAAACAATTAAAACAGAGACCATTAGTTTGAACAAAATTAAATCGAGCGTCATAATTTGTCTTAGCAAACTCTTTACAGTTTGATAGCCTATGATTCTGTTTACAGAATATACAACTCTCTAGTGTTACATTAGAAACAGTCGCGGTTGCATGCATTGCCTTTGGTTTATGATTTGAAAAATTTGGTTTAAGCCTTTGTTTACCGTCTAGAAATTCAAGTGATCGAAATTTAGATTCTAAGAATTCACGCATTTGGTTAAGAGTAGGTAACTCGTCCACAGCACTTATTTTCGCCTCCCATTGCTTACGCGACTCGCTGTCTAATTTTGTACTAATAATATAAATTACATCCCATGTATCGACGTTAATGCCTAAATTTTTCAAACCATTTATAGTATCGTTGGTTAGGTCTAACATTTCCTTAATGGCACTGCAGCTCTCGGTTCCAATGTTAGGTTGATTTATAAAACGCTTTAATAAACCATTAGTAAGATATTTCTTATTGTTGTATCTATTATTTAAAAGGAGCCATGAGTCTTGGTAGCTAGCTGCAGTAATTGGAACATGTCTCAAAAGCTGCGCCGCTTCACCCGATAGATGCCCCTTTAAATAATGCATCTTTTGAACATTGTCTAGTGAAGCATTCGTATGAATAAGTGATACATACATATCCCTAAATGTCGGCCATTCATTATACATTCCAGAAAAAATTGGAATAGAAATTTTGGGTAGGTTCACATTACTCTCATTTTTTGCTGCTTCATTTGGTAAGCTTGCAGCAGGAGTTAACAAACTTAGTGCATCTTTTAAATCAGATTTATATAATATGTAAGTTTCCTCTATACTACTAAAAATGTCTTCCTTAAAATACTTTGTTTCAAATATAGCATCAGAACCCTCCATACTTAGCTTCCTATGAGTTTCAGTGACTAATGTCCATTGTTCTTCTAATATATCTAATCTAGTCTGAAGATAAGACGTTTTAGCTAACCGATCCTTTGGCGATTTCTTAAAGTTTTCATACGACTTTTCAATACTAGCTTTAGAACTTGTCTGACTCTTAATTAAAGCGGCCATTTTAAGTACTTGTAAACAAAATTGCAATAAAAACTAGACGAAATGCTCACTTAGTACTAAGCAGGTAAATTCACAATTAATATCGAAAATTTTCTAAGTGTTTGAATTTAAATACAAAATGAAAAATCGGGCATAGGTTCCCCGTCTGTTCACTTTTCTTATAACTATTCTAAGTCTAAAATTGAACATGCAAATATTTATTTACTTATGAAACTTTTTATAATTTTACAAGTCCAAGCAAGCAATCTTAAAATTTACTGTCCTTATTTTATTAAGTCACAAGAAAAACTTCAAATTTATTCTAAGTCGATGAACTTTTTGCACAATAAACAAAATGTACTCACGATTTCACTGTAGATCACTGATTCGCTCACTTACTTCACAATGTGTTGATTGTAGTTGTACCTCGCTCTACCTCTGGGCTGTGACGTCACGACTGGAACCCGTCACTACTGACGTCGCCAAATGCTCCGTTGACGTTGACCACTTGTATTTTGCATGACACTCATCGGCTGACTGAAGTACTTCAACTTCACGTACAGCCACCCGTTACGTCACCAGATGACGTTCGGTGTGCACTTTCGATAACGATCCGCTACCACTTTCCAGTGCAGTACATGCAAAAATTGCCGGGAGAGAACTTCGCTACTACCAGTGCCCTCTTTATTTAATCCGACTCGGAATGGACCATGTACAATTGAATATCCATTATAACGATGTACTTCGAGGCCATAACACTCGTATTATCACCGCCAAGACCTGATATGATACTCTTATTTGGTATCTTCCTTAAACCAAGCAATTGTACCGCCGATTCTGTCACGAAAGACGCCTGGGAGCCCTGGTCTAAGAGAGCTCTGAACAGGTGGGTATAGCCAGAGGTTGCTGCTTGGTAGGCGAGTTGTCGCTCGCAGTACCAGACATCTCGGAGGTTTGATGCTGCTCCTAAACACTGACCTGGGTATTTTATGCATGGCTTAAATTATGGTGACACCATCATCTATCAAATACTGTAAGATTTTTCTGGCCTTTTCTAAACGACACCCATGAGATGATGTGGGGTGTAGGATTATTTTACGACGCTATACCATGATGCCATAGGGTTGCGTGACCTTGACTAGCCAACAGCAAAACCCAACCTCTCTTCTTGGAGTTCGAGGTGTGCAATTATCAGTTAATATAATACTTAAAGAACCGTGGTAGTTTAGGTTCAAGTACGTGAAAAAAGTTTAATTGCCCGATGACACCAATAAAATTCGTATCGTATGTGCTAATTTCGCACGTTTATGGCGGTGAAATACAACATCATGAGCATACCACATGTATGAGAAATAAATCTATTTCAAATGTATTGGGACAGTGCAGTGGACTGTAGAATAAATGATATTAGACTTTTTTTATAGGATAAGGGTGACAAACAAGCACACAGTCCACCTGATGGTAAGTGGTTGCTGTGCCCATAGACATCTACATTTATCCTCTATTACAAATCAAAATGCGGATGCATTGTCACCCGTGAGGAATAAGATGGAATGCCTCATTTCCAGTAAAAAGGGCCTTCGGCCACCTGCACTCACCAAGCGAATCGCAGAGGTAAACCTCTACTTCACGCTGGTATTCTGTGAGGTCGTGGTACCACCCCGGTTCGAGCCGGCCCATCCGTGCGACAGCAAAAGCTGCCGCGTGACTCTACCACTGTTAATTTTTTCGACTTTAGAAAAACCTAACAACACACATCGATCCAAAGCTGTATATTTTATTTTATCCTGGTGATCCGGATCAGATACAGGGATAAAGTTATTAAAATTATTGTATTGTAATCGGTCTTTGATAAAAATGCAAATTTTCAAGTCATTTGGTTTCATAGATGTTGGTGAAATATACATTAAATATTCCGTTACATAGATTGATAGATAGATACACGCAAACCTAATAAAATAGTGTTATAAGGCCTATACCTATACATCATATAATTTGGTTGTTACATAATTTGATAATATACTTTCTTCTTTTAATCAAACCATAAAAATTAAATGTCAGGCGTAGGCACAAACCTAATAAAATAGTGTTATAAGGCCTATACCTATACATCATATAATTTGGTTGTTACATAATTTGATAATATACTTTCTTCTTTTAATCAAACCATAAAAATTAAATGTCAGGCGTAGGCATTGTAAAGAGAATTATAATTTTAACAGTTAGAAATGTTTAAAACTAAAAAAAAATATTCCATTAATTTTATGGACTTTATTATCCTTTCAAAAAATCATACGGCTTCTCTCAACAGCGAACCTTGTTAAAGTCCTTTCATATTATAAAGGTGACTTTTTAACTAATATTATATGATGTTGTGTAAATATTTATTATATTCTACTTTAGATTTTTAAATTTTCATTCGTAAAATTCTTATTCTTTAACAATGACAGAATATAAAATGTAAAACGAATAAAGAAAATTTAATTAAAATATTTAATTATAAAATTAACATGCTTACTTAATTACTAACTTATCTTCAAGCACAATCCCTGACGGGGTAGCCAGAGAGAACAGATCGCCAAGTGTCACGATCCTTACATACCTCTTTCGCTTCTTTCATATTCATTATCTTCTTCATACATGCACGTCTAGGTATCCGAGTACTCTTGACCCTACCCTCTTCGAGCAATTTGCTCACATGGTCTTCGAAAGTTAGTCTCGGTCTACCTCGACACCTTTTAATATTAACTTTCGCGCTATATATTTTCTTCAACATTCGGTCTTCACTCATTCGCTCAACGTGCCCAAACCACCGAAGCACGCCCTTATCAATTTTTGTGATAAGGTCATCTTTCACACCTGCCATATTGCGAATCTCTTCGTTTCGCTTTCGGTCGGCCATGGTAACGCCGCACATTTTACGAAGAGATCGCATCTCCACTGCATTCAACTTGCTTTTATGCCCAGCGAAACCTGGGTATGCCAGAAGGAGTTAATCAAATTAACATGCGTTAGTATTAATATTCAGTTTTCTAAGATCAAATATAGGATGTTTTTAGCGCACTATCCAGTTAAAGATGACCTGAGGTCATCCACAAGAATGGCCAATTACCACGTCTACACGTGACGTGTAGTGGCGGTTAAGAATATCCACTACCCCATATTTTCCCGTGGGTGTCGTAAAAGGTGACAAAGGGAAACAGGCAGGAGATGGGCAGCAGCATCTTCCTGATAACAACAAACTTACAATAAAAAAACTGCCGTTGCCAACCAGCTCGCCAAGCGTGGCAATTATGGCAAATAGGGGGTATTTTATATGATAATGAGGGTAACAAAGAAACGGCCCCCAGTCCCCGGCTGCCCCGCTATTCCTGGCTACGGTGGCGACCATGGTAACGGCGGGGCAGG